ACTATTCTTTGCCGAGGCGTTTCGTCCTCTGATGGAGTTTATCAAGGCAATGTAGGATTTATTTTGTTGCGTGTGTTTATATGTAAAAGCGAGGATGTCATTGATTTATCAAGGCTTTTCACTTTGAGAACGTTCATGAATATTCATCATGTGGTTGAAAGCTTATTATTAGATTTTTATGCTATAAGATCGACGTATGTGCTGTACATCACCAAAAATATGAGTTGATGGATTTAACTGTCTTCTCTTGATTTTTTTGTGGACGTGTATGTTGCCTTTGGAAAATAGTAATTTTTCCAGGAAAGATAAGATGAAAAAATCAAAAATTCAGAAGCCTTAATAAACCAATGACATCCATGTTTTGTATATAAACCCGTGCATATACCACCAACCCTAACCCACTGTATATAGGAATGATAAGAAACCAGATGAAAAAAAATATATATTCTTAGCCGACGCGTTTCGTCCTCTGAGGGACTTTATCAAGGCAAATGAGGAATTTATTTATTTATATAAAAAACGATGAAGGATGTTATTGGTTTATCAAGACGTTCATGAATATTTATCATGTGGTTGAAAGGTTATTCAAAACATGTGCAGGACACAAAATGTCATAACTCTGGCAAAAAGTAAGCGAGTAATATTCAAGAATTGTTTTTTAAATGAATATTGTTTAGATTGGGATTAGATTCTTATGGTATAGGATGGACACATGTGCTGTACATGGTTAAAACAACTCAACACTGATTCAATGAAAACAGAACTGATGTCCTTGAATAGCCTAGCGAGTAACTGGATCTCAATCCAATAGAAAACTTAAATGTTGAAGTTGTGAGTACATAAGTGATCTAAAAATATAAAGGAACTGAAGAAAGTCTGTGAAGAAGAATGGGTGAAACTACCAAAATCCTCATGCAAGAAGCTCGTTGAAAGCTTCAGAAAATGACTAGAGGTCGTAAGGCGGAACAGAGATTATGCTGCTAGATATTAAATCGTGTTAAATACTTTTACAGACAGCCAAATTCGAAAATTGGCAATAAAAGTACATAAAGAAATGTTTTTCAACTTTCCTTTATGTTTAGTTAGACAATGTTCATTAAAATATTTGAAGTAAGTATGATTAAAATTAAACAATTTTTGTTGTGAAATTCATAAAAAATGGATGTGTTTAATACTTTTGCTAGCCATTGTATATAGGAATGATAAGAGACCAGAAGAAAAAATATATATTCTTAGCCGACGCGCTTCATCCTCTGAGAGACTTTATCAACGCAAATGAGGAATTTATTTTATTGAAGGATGAAGGATGTCATTGGTTTATCAAGATGTTTATGAATATTCATCATTTGGCTTAAAGGTTATTCAAAGCGTGTGCAGGACAGAAAATGTCATAATTCAAAGATTGGCAAAAATAAGCGAGTAATATTCAAACATTTTTTATGAATATTGTTTAGATTGTGATTAGATTCTTATGGTAAGGTTTAGATTGTTTTATGGCATATTAACCTAAATGAGTTATTTAATGCCGACAAGATTTTTTATTTCTGGTAATAGTTTTTTTTTTTTTAAATGTATTGCTGGTATTTCTAGTAGTCATTTTTTCCTTTAAACATTTATTATTGGCACTTTTTCCCCAAAATCTATTGTTGGCAATAATATTTTACAAAAAATGTATTGGTATTAAAACCTACTTTTACACTTTCATAGTGTTTTGACCACAGTTTAAGGGTTAACTATTTGCCCATAGCTGGGACCCTAACAGGTGCTACCACACCGGCTCAGGGTATACCCGGGAAAATTAGCAATTAAGAGGTGGTTCCACGTTCCACAAAACCTCCTGATTCGAGGCCTTGCTGTTGGATGTAGTTTATCGTCTTACCCAGGACGCGGATGCAGTTTATCGTCTTACCCAGGACGCGGATGTTGTTTATCGTCATACCCATAACGCGGATGTAGTTTATCGTCTTACCCAGGACGCGGATGCAGTTTATCGTCTTACCCAGGGCGCAGATGTCGTTTATTGTCATACCCATAACGCGGATGTAGTTTATCGTCTTACCCAGGACGCGGATGCAGTTTATCGTCTTACCCAGGACGCAGATGTCGTTTATTGTCATACCCATAACGCGGATGTAGTTTATCGTCTTACCCAGGACGCGGATGCAGTTTATCGTCTTTCCCAGGACGCAGATGTCGTTTATCGTCTTACCCAGGACGCGGATGCATTTTATCGTTTTACTCAGGACGCGGATGCAGTTTATCGTCTTTCCCAGGACGCGGATGTCGTTTATCGTCTTTCCCAGGACGCGGATGTCGTTTATCGTCTTACCCAGGTCGCGGATGTCGTCTATCGTCTTACTGTTATGGTATGAGATGGACGTATGTGCTGTACATCTTCAAAACATGAGGTGATGGATTTAATCATTTTCTTTTATGGTATTCTATGTTGGTTTGAGAAGTAGTAATTCTTCTCAAATAAAAAAAAAACTTGATAAACCAATGATATCCTCGTTATTGTATATAAACACGTGCAAGAAAATAAATCCCACATTCCAATACTGAAAATAACGCTTGAAGTAGTATATATATATATATATATATATATATATATATATATATATAATTATTATTTATAAAAAAATTATAACATAAGTATGTTATAAAATCACTACAAAAATAGCCATTTTGTTTCAACACACTCTGTGTCTTATCAAGTGATGATGTTTAAAATAAATAATAATTATATCTGCTCTACTTTGTATTGGGCACTCTTTTAAGAATAGTAATTGTTGGTTATTGGAATTCATTCCATATATACCAATTATATATACATATATATATATATATATATATAATTCATATATATATATATATATATATATATAATTTAGATATCATCCTCCTCAGGTCTACCCATACGGATTACCTAAGTCTGCATAAACTAACTAACTAACTAACTAACTATATATATATATATATATATATATATATATATATATATATATATCGAAGGTTTTCTCTTCCTCGTGCAGTCGAATTTGTCTTAAAATTATCTCCCTTATACAGTTTACTACAACCAAAAACTATGCATCATTTTATTCAGCATATTGAACTTGATTCCCAAAAACATGATACTAATTTTTACTAGATCAAGCTTCCCAGCATTGACGTTATCAAGATGGCTGTCAGCTTATTCTGATCGCATTCAGTTAAGCATCACTTCACACGTCTAGTCTGGCCTCCTGCTATATATGTTTAGAAATTCTTGATAAAATTCAAAGAAGAATCTGCCATGTTATTGGTCCTAACATGGCATCTCAGCATCAGTTACTTTCCCAATGCCATAATGATACTTCCCTGGGCCTTTTCTATAAATACTTTCATATGAAATGTTCTGGTGAAATTCCTGATATGTCACCAAGATTTTATGAATTTCAGCGCAGTATTAGATTGGCAACAAGGTCTTAATTTACATGTGTATTGGCTAGATGCAACCGTAAATTCTACGCCAACACTTTCGTTTCTCGCTTGTGAAATTCTGTTCTGGCTTCTTGTTTCGTTGTCAAATTTGTTCTTCAAAAGATTAAATGTAATGTCAATCATTACTTTCTATTTTTTTCTTCTAATTTTTGTTCTTTTATTGTCTTTCACCTTTGTATATTTTTCTCGTATTCTCTAACACCTAGTAACCCCTTGCGTCTTGGTAGCTTTATTACCTTGCTTGGGGTGAAATGTGCTACAAAAATTAAATTTAAAAAAGGTTAGAAATTACATTTTCCAATTTTTTTTTTTAGACATATATGTACAGAATTCTAATAATTTTTTTCTGAAAATTTCTATTAAAAATAAGAATTTTTTTTCTCATTCGTCATGTATCATGTTTAACCTTAATTTATTCAAATAACAAAGTATTTTGGAACAAATGTCGCTACTTCCTAAGAATTCAGAAAATGTATAAATACGATGGGGTTTAAAACAATTTTAAAGAAGATAACAAAACGCGCGTTATTCTTCGGATTTTTAGAACTTAATGAGGATTTTTTTTTATATATTCGTCTAAGAGCCAAGGCAATTTTATTTGCTTTAAAGAGGTCAAAAAGTTTGTGAATATTTTTATGTTCTGCGTGTCTAATTTTTAAAAAAATGTGATTTTTACAAAATCTTAGTGATCCGTGTGGGAGTTATGACGTCATCAAGATGCTTGCCGAGCTTCTCCGACAGTTCGCATACAATTAAGCATAATTCAATGTGCGTCAATGAAAAGCTAATGAGAAAATGTTGAAGCTTGAATAAGCATGGAATAATAATAATACAACACAAAATGTACGTAACAAAATGTATTGAAACAATGAAAAAAGGTACAAAATATTTACAGGTAGTTTTGGTATATTCTTGGGAAGACTGTTCCTGCAGAATGGGTTGACTAAGTCGCAGTCGGGCAGAGTCTCTGGATTCGATCTCTTAATCTTCCGTCGTCTTCCGGTACCAACCCATATTTATATGGTCGGTACTCCACTTATGTAAATTAGGTGTATCATACACAACAGAAAATAAAACGATTGAACTGTCAGAAGATACTTCGACTTCACAAATAATTGAAGACAGTGAAATTTTGCTGAGGATAGGCTTAAGGATCCTACACTAAAATACCTCGATATGAGCACAAAAAAAAAAAAAAAAAAAGACAAGGACCTTTATTAGAAAATAGGATGAAAAATGAACAGAACGAGATGGGAGAGTTGAAGGGATAAAACGATGTTTTTTTTTTAAAGCATTGGTGAGTTTTATACAGTATTCAAAATGTTGAAATGTGTTGAAGAATCTATTGACTTAGGCTTCTCATTTTCTTTCATACATTGTCAGTAACACAAAGATGAAGCTTAGGCCGCCGTTCAACTATGGAAAACGAACGAAATTTGTGGAATTAAGATAGATTAAAAACATCTATCAAGTGTTTGAAAAGCTAAAAATAACAATAAACACGCTATTTTTATTTTGTCATGAAAATATTTGCCCATATCTATCTATCTATCTATCTATCTATCTATCTATCTCGTTTATTCATATCTATCTATCTATCTATATATCTTTCTATCTATCTATCTATCTATCTATCTATCTCGTTTATTCATATCTATCTATCTCGTTTATTCATATCTATCTATCTATCTATCTATCTATCTATCTATCTCGTTTATTCATATCTATCTATCTATCTATCTATCTATCTATATATCTATCTCGTTTATTCATATCTATCTATCTATCTATTTCGTTTATTCATATCTATCTATCTATCTATCTATCTATCTATCTATCTCGTTTATTCATATCTATCTATCTATCTAACTATCTATCTATCTCGTTTATTCATATCTATCTATCTCGTTTATTCATATCTATCTATCTATCTATCTATCTATCTATCTATCTATCTATCTATCTATCTATCTATCTCGTTTATTCATATCTATCTATCTATCCATCTGGAATCGTCTGTCCTCAATATATTTTGACATTCTTTCAGTGTCGAGTTCTTATGCTTTTTGCCCGTAACAGTCTTCTCTTTTAAGTATTATGGAGGTCTGTTATGGTGTAGGTATGTTTTTGGGGAGAGAGGACTAGAGATTTGATTCAGATTTAGGGAATCAGAAAAAAAAAGAACGATATCATTCGATTTTGCAAAGACATTCTATACCATCGAGTTTAGGCACAATTGAAAAAAAATTCTTTTCAACAAGACAATGATTCAAAACACTCTTCTGAATTACGTCAAAATAACATCTAGTTAAAAAAAAGAACAAGATTTTGAAAATTATGACCTGGTCACCTCCTTTCATTGAATTAGTATGGATTGAATTGGATAGGAGAATTCGAAGAGAATACGCAAAGCGTGAGAGCGAGCTTTTTTTAGTTATTAAGAATGCTGAGGAAGGTTTGCAATCTACTATTTTCAAAAGCTATTGGAAAAAACGCCAATAATTTGTAAAGCAGTAATTGAAGCAGGTGGTCGTTTCATTAACGAAAACAAAATATGATGCTGTTGCATGATGATTTTTTATAGCTAAGTGCTTATTTGTTGTCAAAATAAAAGCAAATACAGTTACTGAAATTTTATCTTTTACTTAAAAAATACAAAAAAAATCTTATTTTAAGAAGATTTTTAAAGAAATGCCGCGTGACCCTAAACTTTAATGTATTACACACACACACACACACACACACACTTTTTTTTACAAATGGAATTAAGATATCTTTATTTAATGACCATTTTTACCTAAGAATTTTAATTTTAAAATTAGCACGATTTTTCAAACTGTTTATGGTAATACCCACTACAAGAATATCCCACTACAAACTGATACCATAAACAGTTTGAAAAATTCTGCGAATTAACTAAAGGTATCTTAATTCCAACTGTAAAGAATAAATATTGGGCAGTCTTTTGTGAGTCAGTTTAACATATTTCAAATTCTATGTTGTGTTAATAGGACTCGTCTGGATTGTACCAACGGATTACTACTGATATATATATATATATATATATATATATTTTTTTTTTTTCTAGAGGATAGAATCCAGGTAGAGCTCAATGTCCAGGACAGAGTAAGAATATAATATAAAAGGCTCAAACACTAATATTCCATGCTTATAATTTATTACATTGGAATCGTAATCACGACTGATTTCTTTTTTGAATTTGTCGGTCTGATGAATTGGATCATGATTACGATTCCAATGTAATAAATTATAATCATAGAATATTAGTGTTTGAGCCTATATTATATATATATATATATATATATATATATATATATATATATATATATATATATATCCAAGTACATAATTGGTATATACGGAATGAATTCCAATAACCAACAATTACTATTCTTAAAAAGAGTGCTCAATACAAAGTAGAGCAGATATAATTATTATTTATAAAAAATTATAACATAAGTATGTTATAAAATCACAAAAAATAGCCATAAATGGATTTTATAACATACTTATGTTATAATTTTTATAATAATAATTATATATATATTATATATATATATATATATATATAAAGTGAACATTGAAGTCAACACTCACAGGTTACAGGCTGTTTCATGCTGAACACAATCGTCACGACGTGTCCTGATGATTGCGTCTGGCATGAAACAGTCTGTCGCCTCTGAATGTTGACTTCAATGTTTACTTTTATATTTATATTTACATACGCCCTATCTCCGATATTGAGCACTTTCTCCCATAAATATAGCACACCTTAAAACTATATATATATATATATATATATATATATATATATTAATGACGGAGTAAATTGTAAAGGTATTGAAAAGACTCTGTCTATATTTCTGAGATGAGTTATTATGTACACTATTTACATTATTCGGACTATTGTCCTTATCTTTGCATATTTATTCCAACGTTAAGGACGTTGTACGCTCCGGCCTTCTTCAGGTGGTTGGAATGTCGAACTGAACCCTTTATTTCGCTCACTGGGGTAGACTGTTCTAGATCCACGTGCCATGTTTAATTGATGTCAGTTATCTCTTGTTAACTCCCCTCTCTAAGTTCTCCACCGCCTTAACCGGGTATTGAACTCACACTCATTAGTTAGATCCAGTGACAGGACCTAAATATAAGTAAGGCAGTGTGAGTATACATTCAAAGAATATATATTGTTGCAAATATATTGCAACTTTGCAAAAGCTTCTTGAAAAAGGACTAAAAATATTTGTCACCGGGAAATCTAATTGTTGGTGAACAGATTCTCGTCTCTCACCTCTAAATATCAACAGGAATCTGATTTCTGGAAGCTACATTCGTAGAGGCACTGGCACGGTGCCATTTTAAGTCTTGTGTAGAAGAAAGAAAGGAATATTTCCTTTGTAGTGGCATAGAAGAAAGAACATGTCTCTCGAGGAACAGGTTTATAGAAAGTGAGAGAGAAAGACAGAGAGAGTGTGTGTCTTTGTGCGCGCGTGTGTGTGGCAGAGAGAGAGAGAGAGAGAGAGAGAGATAGTATGAGTGAGTGTGTGATAGAGAGCGAGCGTGCGTGAAAATGTGTGTGTGAGTATGTTAGAGAGAGAGGCAGAGTGTGTGTTAGTAAGAGAGAGTGTGTGTGAGAAAGAATGGAATGTGTGTATTAGAGCGTGAAAGAGATAGTGTGTGTTTGAGTGTGTGTGTTTGTTAGATAAAGAACGTGTTAGAGAGAGAGAGAGAGAGAGAGAGAGAGAGAGAGAGAGAGTATGTGTGAGAGAGTGTGTGAGAGAGAAAGTGGGTATATGTGTATTAGGGAGTGAGAGAGATAGTGTATGTGTTAGAGAGAGATTGTGTCAGAGAGAGAGAGAGAGAGTGTATGCGAGAGAGTGTGAGAGATAGTGTACGTGAGAGAGATTGTGAGTGTTAGAAAGAGCGAGAGAGTATTAGAGAGAGGGAGTGTGTATTAGAGAAAGAGTGAGAGAGATAGTGAGTGAGAGAGTGCATTTGTATACGTATAAGAGAGTGGAACATATAGTGTGTGTATTAGACAGAGAGAGTGAGAGAGTTAGTGCGTGTGAGAGAGAGTGTTCGTGTGTGTGTGTGTGAGAGAGAGTTTGTGTGTGTGTGTGTGTGTGTGTGCGTGTGTGTGTGAGAGAGAGAGAGTAAATGTTCTGTTTTCGGATCATTTAGCTGAACAAAAATGCCTGGGAAATAAACGGAACGTAGTAAAAAGAATACATTTGAGAGAAAAACAGAACGGTTGAAGAAGAAAAGAAAAATGCGATCATTGTTACCTAGAATTGAAATATAAGAGACGAAATTGTGATTGTTATCGATTTATTTTTTACGGCTTATCAACCCTTTGTAGATTATTTAAAGCCGAAAAAATATTTCGGTAAAAGAGAAGAAGCGGGGAAACATTGGAAAGATAAGGATTTTGTGAAAAATCGAATATCTATCTATCTATCTATCTATCTATCTATCTATCTATCTATCTATCTCAGTCAGTTAATATCTATCTATCTCAATATTTATATATATATATATATATATATATATAAAAAAATAATTATATTTATGCTCTACTTTTGTATCGAGCACTATTTTAAAAAAATAATAACTAAAATACTAAGGGACTTTGGATTATTTACCTAACCAGTTCCTTCCTATTTTCTATATATTTTCACACATATATATATATATATATATATATATATATATATATATATATATATATACATACATATAAATGATTTTGTATCTCTCTCTCTCTCTCTCTCTCTATATATATATATATATATATATATATATATATGTGTGTGTGTGTGTGTCTTTTTAGGAATGTCTGATTAAATAAATTACAGATATCATTTGTGCTTATTTTTAATAAAATCCATTCATACTCACGGAAAACTTTCCGTGTATCGCAATTAACTGATGTGCGAAATGTACTATAACTATGAAAATCTTTCTTATTTTCCATTCCCTAAGTACTTTCGATCTTCTTCCGAGATCATCTTCAGAGGTTTGCATAGTAATACAAAACTGTGTGTTGTTTATGGGTGCAAGTATTAATGCAAAATTGTTTTTTGATACCCATTACTGTCATTTTTCTTTTTGCTTTCAAATGCAACGGTTAACAGTCATGCTTAGCGTACATTAGAACGTGAACAAAATTATCCACGATGGAAGTTTTTCTTCTGCATTGTAATGTCATGGTCATGCGCGTGTGAGAAACTGTTCCTTTTATAGACATTTCAGAACATTACTACAGTATTCGTAGTTGATTCTATTAAGTGACGGCTTTTAATTTTTTCAACATATATTGCTTCGAGGATCTGTAGTTTGAATTTGTTGTTTTCTTGCTGTAGGATAGTTGTGTTGTCGATTAGTATCTTTTTATATTATGAATATGGACAAGAATTGTGGTGTAGATGTCTCGCAATGGACGAATGGTCAGATATGTGTAGTGTAAGACGTCTTGATGATGTAGTTGTCGTATATCCAATATATATATTTGTTTTTCTGTCGGAGATACATTCTCCCAAGGGACATTTGAATTGATATATAATGTTGGTTTTATGTAATACATCAGTTGGTGAGAAGATGTTATTCCGAATAATTAAATTGGTTGTATTGAATTTTGTATAATATATGATTCATTTTATGTTTTTTTATTTTATTAGAGTTCATGGAATATATATTAGTACGAATGAGATATTTTATGATTTTTCATCCTGTTTGCAACATAGGAGTTTGATATATTTAGGATCCTTTGAGGAAGTACCATATTCTATTTGACGTCTTGAGGTTTTTGATAAACTGTATCATATGTTCATCTACAATGTGGTTTGGGAAGTCATTATTAAAAGTTTGCTTAATATTTTTTAGTTCAGTGTAGAAAATCTTTTTGCGGAGGAGTTAATTTGTGCTCGGTTAATTAAATTCTGTATAAGTGCTATTTTGTAGTAATTACGACATTCATTCTTATAGTTGAGAGTGCAAGAGTTTTTGTTGATTGTTTTTTTTATATATGGGGAGGTAGTAAACGTGTTATTATTTGTGTCTATTAAAATGTTAAGGAATGCTATCTTTGTCAAATTCGTATGTGAACTTGAGGGCAGAGTTTTTTGAAAGATTTTTGGTGTTACAGTATTTCTTCTATGTTTTTAACTAAAATAAGGATATCATCTACATATCTTAGGCAGATGAAATGGTTCTTGGTGGTGCTAAATATATTATTTTCTAGGTTGACCATGTAGAAGTTATTGAAGGTTGGATCCAGATCTGAACCCATTGAAACGTCATCACGTTACACATATACGTTATTTCTGTGATCATAATATGATACAGGTTAAAAGTAATTTTCTTAGTATTTTAGGCTTAATTTTTAATGGGAGCAGAGATAAATTATTATATATATTTTTAATAATAATGTCAATGGTTTATCTAATTGGAACGTTAGTGAAATGATTTTCAACTTCAAGTGATGCTATAGTTTCATTATTAGGTATTTAATATTTGTATAAGTTTGTAGGGTTGATTTAATGCTATATTTGTTAGGTATGTAATGTGTAATTGGTCAAGCGTTTTAGTTTGTTATTAAATGGAAGTGGGAATTTGTGATATCATAGGGCGGAGTGGAATTGCAGTTAACAATGCAGAAGAAGACAATCTAAAACTTACCAAAATAATCGGAGACTATAAACCAGGATACATTTATGGTTCTATCAAAACACACAATCCGAAATTTCCAAATACATTTTACGTATATACCGGGTGTAACAAAAAAATTGTCCGAATCGTGTAACAGCAAATTTGTCCAATTGTTGGTTTAAGCTCTGAACCGTTGTATCTTAGAATTGATTAAAGACATCTTACTGGAATTCTTCGAGGTTTATATAACATTACTATACTCTACTTTGAGCAATAAGAATGTATAATTAATCTCAAGCATAACAGAAGAAACGTGATGAAATCAATCATAAACGAAAATGACATGTTCATCATTAATCAATCATAACTAAGGATCGGAAGCTAATAAAAAATTGATATAAAGTTCATATATATATATATATATATATATATTCAAGTTACGAAGAACTTGTTAAACCGAATGGGTAATTCCAATGAGGATGATATCCTGAGAGCTCAATGTGAATACAGAGCTAATATTTAATGAAAAAAAAGACCACTTTAAGGTACCATTACAATAATTTATTTCACCAAAATCCTTTTTAAATGACTCCGGATCATCAGATAACACTTCCAACAGCGAAATGAAATATATATGTGTATGTATGTATGTATGTATGTATGTATGTATGTATACACACACACACACACACACACACACACACACACACACACACACACACACACACACATATATATATATATATATATATTATTCGAGGATTATTTCCCAACTTATTCAAGATGATTTTCACCCCTCTAAATTTATAACTTTTTGAGATGAAGTAACACGGTGCCTCATAGGTTTCACGCACGATTTCATTTTCGAGTACCTTTTCACTGCTCTTTGGGCTGTCATAGTTGAAACTTCTCTCTCACGTGCCAAACGTCTGATGGATTGAGTTGGATCTTTTCTAATTGATCTCTTTTTTTTTTTAAGCGTTTCACCATAAGCAAGACGAGAAGCCACTAGGACGCAAGGGGTTACAGAAAATTTGGAGCAAGATCAGATAGGAGTGATAGAAGAAAGGATGAGGAGAAGGATAATGTATACATTATCCTTCTCCTCATCCTTTCAAGGCAACTGGAGATGTCGATTGACATTACATTTGAATAGCTGGAGACTATAGCTCTCAGGGAAACTGGAATAGGGAAGGGAGTTCCACAGGCGAGAGGTGCGAGACATGAAGCTATTGGAGTAGAAGAGACGGCTACATTTAGGAGTTTCGACAGTGAAAGGGTGAGAGCGGGATGCCAGCCTCGTAGGGCGCTTGAACTTATGAAGTCTGGGAACCAGCGAATGCAGCTCCTCGGAGCAATTGCCAAGAAAGTATTTAAGACAGAGAGAGGCGACGGCGTGTCTGTGAGAGAGTGACTGTAGACGAGATGCCAGAGCAGGGCTAATTATATTGCATATCCGCCTCTGGAGCCTATCAAGAACCTCGAGGCAAACAGAAGGGGCTCCAGACCATATATGGTAGCAATACAAGGACGAATTGTTGATTTGTAGATCTGGAGGATCGATTCCGGGGAGAAAAATTTCCTGGCGCGGCACAGGGAGCCAACTTTCCTTGCGGTGGACAAAGCAATTGACTCAATGTATTTGTTCCATCTCAGGTCAGCAGTCAAAGTGAGACGGAGCAGCCGAAGAGAGGTGCTCTCGAGAAGTTGAGCGTCAGACATTCTTAATGGGGGGCAGGGAAGGATCTCTGTGGTGATTTAGCTCACAGTTGATATAATGATCCCTCTTGCTGTTGTGACCTCCTGATCCGGTTTTCGTCTCTACTGTTCCCTCTTTTTGAAACTTATTCACCATTCTCTTGATGGTTCTTGAATAGACTTTGAAGGTGGAAACCAGAGTATGAATGTTGGTACCATTACTGAAGGCCTGACTGATCATTTTCCTCTCACCATTGTTCAGTGCAGAAGACACTGGGTCTGACACAAAACGATTTTAACCTGTTCTCTTTCTAGCTGAATAACTCAAAGTGTTTTTCAGTGATCCTTACGACAAAGACGGCTAAACGAAAACTGAAAACCTGGAAAAAATAAACTTTATTAGTTTAGTGGCTTTTTAGATATTAATCATTTTGTGGGAGTGTAATTATCCCATGCTGTACAATTTGGACAATTTTGCTGTTATACCCGTTATATACACATACACACATACACACGCACACACACACACACACACACATGCACACACACACACACACACACACATATATATATATATATATGTGTGACGTTTCATTCTTTAGGTCTTCATCGGACTAAGTTTATGTTGATACGACTACATAAGCGAAACTAGCTGGGATGCTTGAAAATTCAATTTTTTTTTATTCTAGCCGATTTCATTTAGATTCTTTTTCTTTCCATCAATTTTGTTAGTCGATATCCCACACTGTGAAAGCCATAACAAAAGTTCTAACCCTTTTCCTTGGAACAATCAGTCTATCTCATATAAAGAACTCAGTCAGCCTAGTTGAAAAACTAAGGAAAATTAACATGTCTGACAAACTCATGGCCCGTCTATAGGTACAATCCCTTTACACCAACGCCTCTCAAAATCTCCCAAAAAAGCATCTAGCACAATCAAAGGCAAAGCTCTCTCTACCGACAGCCAAGATAATAAAAATCTGCCGTCTCATCACCAATCAATGCTATTTCACATTTAATAATGATTTTTACAAGGAAAAGTTTGGTTTATCAATGGGATCGCCTTTCAGTGGAGTGATGGCATGTATCTTCTTAGAATTTCTCGAATCTGGTCGTTTCTAAATATTTTACCCAAACAATCAACATATTTCCGATATATTGATGATGCTCTATTAATGAATCCTCGTGATACTGATTTACTTGACCTAGTAGATCAAAGTCGAACAAAGCTAAAACTGCTATATAACGATAAAAAAATCGAAAACCGTAAAAAGTAAAAATTAATCCAAATAAATAAATAAATTAACAAATTAACAAATCGCTCCAGCTAAAATAACCGTTAGAACTAATAAAAATAAACATAAATAAGCAAAATCAAGTAAAAATAATCGATCCAAATAAATAAAATAAACAAATTAAAAACTGTCCCCCGTTAAAATTGCAGAATAGACTATTGCAATCAATTCAAAAATTGGACAAAATTCCCAGACCTAAACACATACCCGAAAATTTTTATTACGTTAATAAAACATCGAAAGCAGAAAAGAATTAATAAATATATAAAATAAAAAAATGAAAAAAAAAGCAAATTAAATTAACCAAATAAATAAATCAATAAATAAGCAAGCCATTCCTACCAAAACAATCCTCAGAATGGATTACCCACAATGCACGACTCACCCATATATATAAATAGTCTAGAAAAATCCAACATTTGCGGCCTGACGATTGCGTCTAGTATAAAACAGACTGTCGCCTCTGAGTGTTGACTTCAGCGTTCACTTTTATGTTTATATATATATTGTTATATATATATATATATATCGAAATAAAGTATATCATATCGGCTCTTATCGGCTCTCTTACGTACCTTCGTAGGAGCTGCAACAAACATTTCCAAAGTTTGGTGATATCTTCCAACCTTTTGGGATATTTCTAATGTTGATTCACCTTTTACAAGTTCGGATGCTATAACAGACTTCCCAGAAGTGGTTAAGCCACAATTGCAATCCATAATTGCATGATTATGAAGTCACTCGTTAATAATTTGGAACACTGAAGTATTGTGTTACTCATGAAAATGGCTGCGATTTGTTTACACTTGCGCATAAACTTACAGAGCATGCGCATATAACTGTTGCAATCGTTCTGTGAAAAATTCGTTAAATTCCAACGTATAGTTTTGGGACAAAATGGAAAATGGTCACCTCGTTAATAATTCTTCAGACAGTATATATATATATATATATATATATATATATATATATATATATATATATATGTGTGTGTGTGTGCGTGTGTGTGTGTGTGTGTGTGTGTATGCGAAAATATATAGAAAATAGGAAAGAACTCGTTAGGCAAATAATCCAAAGTTCTTTAGTAGTTTTGTTATTATTTTTAAAAAACAGTGCTCGATACAAAAAGTAGAACCTAAATATAATTATTTATTTAAAAATATGTAGCAATGAAATCGTATTTTTAAAATAATTATATATATATATATATATATATATATATTAATTGATTTAAAATATGTTTTTTCGCTACACAGTTCTAACCATGTTTCATGACTATATATATATATATACTGTATATTTGGGAAGAAATCCTTCTATTATACATTATATATTTGTTTAAACATGATGGTCAGAGGCAAGTTTATACAGTTTTTCTAGTGTTCATACAATCCTGGTTATGACGATAAACTACATTCGGCAGCAAAACTGCTGACTGATCGGGAGGTTGGGGAGCGTGTAGGCACCTCTTAATTGATGTTCACCCTGACCCGGGGTGGTAGCACCTGTAAGGGTCCCGGCTATGGGAAAATAGTAAACCATCCTACCAGAAACAAAACACTATGAAAGTATAAAAATACATTTATAGTAAAATGACCAATGATACATTGTATATCTAAGTGACCATCAAAGCATTTTATCTATAGTTGAAGACATACATTTGCGTTCAAAATATTTAGATTTGGAATTAAATTGATGTGCCTCTAAATAAAATCAACCAACCAATAAACATGAAAGAACTATTTCATGGCATAAATCCATGCAATATCCTACAATTCCTTAAAGAAATCGAACTGTATTCAAAAATATAACTACAAATAAAACTAGAATATAAAACACACATATCACCGGCTCTAGTAATTATGTCCTTACAAACATGCATATATTCACAAAAGTTGAGTATTTACTAAATTGTGAAAATCAGAATAACATATATCACTTTATTAAATCAAAGTTCACAAGAAAATTGAAGTTCGGCATTAAATGACCTATAAGATGTTGATATGTCGTTAAACAAACAAAACTCTTCTTACAGTATTCCTTTTTTGGACACTAATAAAGCGTAGAGACTACATGTTCGGATTATTGTCCTAAGTGCCATTTTAAATGGGTCCATTATTATATGCATAGTATATTTTCTTTTATTTATGTTATAAATCTTATTGCGTAGTAGTAGTAGTAGTAGTAGTAATTCTAACTCACTCAATTAATTATAACTCACGTGTTTGTTTATATCTCCCTTAAATTAATTCGCTCTAGCACTGTGGGGAAGAAACGCGTATTTGTAAACAGTGACTATTACTGCTAATAATGCAAGACTCTCCCAACGGATTGAGTCCTCTAGGTCACCGGCGTGTTTATGAAAAAATAACTACGCAAAAATTCTCTGCCGAGCGTCGATAGGCTAGGGGTTTGAATCTCCATTGATACCAAATCGGTCGAGTTTCGATCCCGTCATGAAGCGATCGATAGCTGTGATACAGCTAAACAGTCTGTGCATGACTGTATATATATATATATATATATATATATATATATATATATATATATATATATAATTATTTATTTAAAAATATGATTCCAACTCGCGACATAAGAGGTTTCTCAGTATAGAGTTACTTTCATAGATGATCTATAAGTCAGGGAAGTCTGATTTCTTTTATTTATATTATTGAAAGAGCACTTATGCTGCCTCCATCTAGCTTTAAAATCATTCTTTGTGGACCCAATGTATATCATATTAGTACTAGGACTCTCAGTGGATGATATAGTACATTTGTATACCACAAATTTGATGCAGCATTTATTTTCTAATGGGCAGTCTTCTTCGACACCCCCACCTTACCCTGACTTGACATCTATGAAAGTAACTCTATACTGATACTTATTATTAACACCCAACACACGCCTATCCAATTTAAACAATTCGTCCTAGCTGTTACCATGGAAATTTTGATTTCAATTATTAAATCTCGTAAATTTCAGAAATACGTTATTCCAAAAAAAATTTCGCTTGAAGATGGAACAGAGCTTACTTTATCTCAATTTAATTCAAATAATTATATTGAAGTTTTCGGCTCTTGTTTTGAAACATGAGACCTCTTATGTCGCGAGTTGGAATCATATTTTTAAATAACTAATTATATTTATGCTCTACTTTTGTATCGAGCACTATTTAAAAAAAATAATGACTAAAATACTAAGGAACTTTGGATTATTTACCTAACCAGTTCTTCCCTATTTTCTATATATTTTCACACACACACACACACACACACACACACACACACACACACACACACACATATATATATATATATATATATAATTCCATCAAGAGCATTAATTATTTTGATGGAGTTGTACAGTTTTTCTATTTTGTCATTCAATTATCTATCTATCCCAGTTTGTTCATATCTATTTTATTTTCCTTAGCCCAATTTTTCAAACTCTCTACGTAGACTGATCACTTCCAAACTTTCTAATGACCGAAACTTTATACACAAACAAGCAATCTGACATTTCACTGGAATCAAGAGATTTGATTTTTCTTGCCTTACTTTTAAATTTTTTTTCTCCCATGAAAGCAGATCTCTAGTTTTGCTCGAAATCTCAAAAATCCGTCTCAATGGAAGTCATGCTGAAAGAATTTAAAGAATTATCGATCAGAAGAAGAAATGTTTCCTGCAGAAATTGCATGCTGAAGCATTTTTAAAAAAATGTTGTAAAAAATTAAAGCCAGAAGAGGACGAAGATCAAAAGGCTTTAAACTTCCGGTTTGCCAAGAAAATGGCTGCTGTTTAGTAAGCCTACTTTACTTCTAGACAATTTCCTATGAGATTTTTTTCTATTTATGTTTGTTCCTGATCGAAAAAATATATTTGAAATAAGACGAAATAAAGTTCACGTATTAATTATTATTGTTATCATTATTATTAATTTTATTTTAATTATCATTATCATCATTCATCATCATCATCATCATCTTCTTCTTCTTCTTCTTCTTCTTCTTCTTTATTCATTCTTATTATAAACATTCATGTAACAGCCATTTTTCCGGCGCCGTAATGTAGCTTCCCTGAAACTTTTCTATAAATACTTTCATGTTAATTGTTCTGACAAACTTTCGGCTATAATGAATTGTAAATATGGGGACTAGTATTTTCATAGAGACAATGAGGTATTATGGTGGTTGTCGTAAGAAAGGTACGTATGAATGTGTTGTTTTGGTGTAAGGAATATTGTTCGTACGATTGGGCCAGTGTTTGCGGCTAGCTAAGTTATAGTTAAGACAGAAGAAGACCGTCCTTTCCCCAATCCCCCCCAGGCCACATTTCTGTATTGTACAGAATAAATATCACTTTCGGCTATAGTACCTAGACTTTATTACTTTAAGCGCAGTGCGAGATTTGCGACAAGGTCTCGTCAATTTACAGTTGAATTGGCTAGATGCAGCCTTAAGTCCTATGTTAACAGTTTCTTCCCTCGCACTTCTTGCTTGTGGAACACTCTTTCGGCTTCATACTTTCCAGCCAACTTTGATCTTCAAAAATTTAAATGCAATGACAATCCTTATCTACTGTCTTCCTGGTTACTCTTCTTTTATTGTTCTCGCTCCTTAATAATGTTTCTCTTTTTCCTTATTCTTTCACATTCAGTAACCCCTTGTGTCTTAGCAGCTTTATTGCCTTGCATGGTGTGAAATGATTAAAAAAATCTAACCATTTTTCTAAAATTCCAATACTTTTCACAATATTCTCCCTTTACACTTTTGATTGGGAAAATGCAATTTTCATAAAAGGAATATAATTTATTCAGACGAAGATATATTGAATATTTCATAAACTATTATTCCGCTGAAAATTGATATGCGATTGACCTCTTTCAACATATACATCTTTTCTTACTCAGTTAGTATATCGAAACAATGTAGAATATTTCAGTTGTAAAATTTGCCATATTTGACGGAATATATAAAAAAATCACCCTGACGATTTTAAGTTTTTTTTTTTAATGATGAAACAAAATTTATTGAAACAAAACAAGTGCAGTTGACCACTGATGACAATTCTAGAACAACGTAATTATAAACAATTTTTTTCTATCCTCTGCCAGCCGCAATGATGGAAAAAGCAGTACCTCGAATCATCGCCAGTGCAAGAGCCACTTCGTTTCACGAGGCTCGTCCCTTAATCAAGACGCAATCGCGCCAATCCTCCGAAGGAACGCCATCGAACGAGGGTCAATAACCCCAGAAGTTTCCACTGCCACAGGAGTAAAAAAAAAAAAAAATCTATCAGCAAGAGAAGAATATTTAACTACTTTTTTTTTTATCTCTGCGTCCCCGGCGACGGATCCTGGCTCAACCGCGGACCTGATCAAATTACCGGCCGAATATGTATCCGCACAGGTCGCATCCCAAATCAACGACTTCCCCATTTTTCTTTTCCAATATATCTTGGTCAACTAAGGAAAATATATTTTGTGTAGGGGCCTATTTCGCCAACAAATCATGCAACTGTAGTGCAAGAAAACTTTCGGAGAAAGTTTCAGTTTCATCATGCTCCATCAAAAAGTAGAATTTTTGACTGGGTTCAGAAGTTCAGAGAGTATGGCACTGTGCAAAATCTGAACTCCAAAGGTCTGGAAGACAGTTTTTCTGGTCGGAGGGTGAGTGCTAGAATAGAAAGGAAAATTGAATCTGTATGGGACTCATTTTGGCGGAGCCCAAAAAATTTCACTTCGACGACGATATCAACAGCTGGGTATCTTTCGATAGCCTTTGAGGCGTGTTCTTAAATCAGATTTTCATTTTTATCCTTACAGCATCCAAATAAAGCAAAAAACCCGTAACCATGTGTGAATTGTTTTGTGACACAATCGAAGACAATCCAAACTTCTTGGATCATGTTTGGTTCACCTCTGAAGCGCACTTTCTGCTTACAGGACATGTAAACAGCAAAAACAATGTTTATTGGAGTACAGCCATACCGGAGGACGGGTTACAGAGGCCGTTACACGAAACAAAGTACACAGCATGGGTTGCAATTTCTAAACATGGCATTATCGACCCATAATGTTTCGAAGACGAAAATGAGAGACCTCAAACAGTGAATACGGAGCACTATGTGGCAGTGCTGAGGAATCTTTGGGTATCATTGAGACAAGGCAGAGGGATAGATCGAGATGAACAGTGGTTCCAGCAAGACGAGGTCATCTCTCCTCACACATCAAAAGATTTCCTAACCTGGATTAGAGAGCGATTTCAGGAGAGACTGATCAGCAGGAAGTGTGACGTTGAGTGGGCACCACACTCACCGGACTTGAACCCCACAGATTTTTATTTGTTGGGGCATCTCAAGGATAATGCGCACCAAAACAACCCTGAAAGATTGGTGAACTAAAGGCAGCAATCACAGCAAAAATCAGGGAAATCCCCAAAGAGGAATGCGTCCGAGTAATTGAAAATGTTGCGCGACGTTTGCAAGTTTGCCTCCAACGCCGCGGGGCCCATTTGGAGCTTATTTTAGAAAGAACGTGACTTTTATGCAAAGCGACTTTGGGGAATAATCATACATAGACTGAAGGGTAAATCCACCAAGTTTCTTGAAATTACCTGAACCTTTGTAGCACTTATTACAATATTTAAGGGTTCTGTTTTGTTTTTTAGGTGGGGGTTATTCTATATTTTCAATTTTCCTGATTTGCTGTTTGACAAAATCCTTTATCAAGTCTTTTGCATTAGATCAGAGGTAAAGAAAGGTTTTTCTTAAAAAGTCATTGAACATCGAGAAATATTTTTTTTAATTATGTGAGCGGTGCTCATGAACACGATCTTTTCTAGGAATGTCTTAATATGTGAGCTGACGGTCATGCCACATTGAAACACTGATTCTCGTACGATCAACGAAGTTAAGCAATGTCGAGACTGGTCATAACCAAGATAGATAACTACTTGGCAACACCAGGCACTGTAAGCTTGGATGTGCGGGTGGTGTAATGGATAACGGTTTGGAATTGTAAATTCCAACCGCATTCATTATATTCACTTACGCCCAGATGCTCTTCTCCCCAGTCAATTACGCCCAGATGCTCTTCTCCCCAGGTTAATTAGTCAGACTTGTATTAGTAAATCATAATTATCTAAAAAAAACCTCTTAAATTCTATAAATATTTTCCGGTTTTGAATAACATGCAAAAGGTTGATAAACCGTAAAAAACAAAATCAATCACTCAAAATATATCAGTATTTTTTTTAATCAGTTCCCCGAGTTCCTATTGTTACTGGGAAATGACTGTTTAAATTTTGTTATTTTAATCAATGCACCCCAAGCAAGGCGATAATGCCACTAAGACGCGAGGAGCTACTGGTTGTGAAAGAGTCGGAAAAGACTTTAGAAGTAACCGGAAACCCAGTCATAAACAGGAAACAAGGGATAAACCTCTACTCTTGTACAATAACCGAATTTATATTTCTAGATCCTCATATTCTGAAAGTTTGTCAAGAGGTTTGTATAAGACGCAATGACCTGAGATGAGATGACATTTACATTTTTAATTATTATTATTATTATTTGTATATGTTATGTTTCCTGCTTTGTATCCTGTAGAGCCGGGTCCAAACTATCTTCCTTAGGCCCTATAGAAGAATTGTCATTTAATTGATAGCACTTTTCTTAGTATATGGGATGTTCCTAGTAGGGCGATCATCTGGGTAACTTGTATGTTGATTTTACTTGGGACACTTTTAGTAAAATTGCCCATTCTTTTTCTCACGAGGCCCAGAGATCTGTTTACTATTGATACAGTCTCAGTCTTTATTCCTCATTTCCTTTTAATCTCGATGTCCAGGTCTCGATCATTTTCATTGAGGTGTTTCTCCCAGATGGTACGGCTATGTTAATAAGCATACACTTCCTGAATTTCGTATCTTTTATGATAATATCAGGTCTGTTGGCTTTTATTTCTTTTTCAGTTTGAATTGCAATGTCCCTGAGGATAGTTACATCGTTATTTTCGGTAACTGTGACTAGTTGGTGATCATACCATCTCCCAGTCGTTTTGATTTTGTGCTTCTTGCATATCTTCCAGTGCACATATGTAACTACTTTGTTATATCTGTGAATATATTCAGTTTTTGCTAGTTCCGGAGAACCTGAGATAATATGGTCGACAGTTTCATCATATTTTCTGCAGATCCTGCATTTCAAGTTAGTTACATCCTTGTTCATGTGACAGTGATAGGATCTGATTGCGAGGCTTTGGTTCTAAGCTGAAATAATTAGGCCTTCTGTCTCAGCTTTCAATCCAGTGCTCCTCAGCCACTGAGATGTTTTCTTTTGAACCACGTCTGATTCTTTCGTTCTTTTTTAGATATTTGCCATGCAACGACTTGTTTTGTAATTTCATTTGTCCAAGTTGGTTTGCTTTCTGTTTTACTTGGTTGGCGTAGACGGTATTC